TACTATATTAATACGCTGGATATGATTCCACTGTGAACCTTTTCATAAAGCAGAAGGCAAATACGTCTATCATCTTCTGTTTTCATGAAGAAGCCTTGTTGACAAGCAGTTCAATCAACAAAGAAAAAATACATAATCTCCCATCTTTATAAGGATTTTGCCGAAGTTTATTGAATAGGAATGCGAAATGCATGCATTTTCCACCTGAGAGGGTTTGCTTGCCGGGTGACAATATGAAACGTGGATCAAAATCGTTTCCATCAATGCTGGCAGATGAAAAGCAAACACAATCAAATCAGTCTGGCCTATACAACCAGCCTCCGCTCAAATGCCAATCTCCCTTCTCCTCATCATGTGTCTGATGAGAAATCATAGAGTGGGAGAATCTCCTAATCTATGCAAACACACTGTCAGCATTGATTTGTTCAGAGGGGATATGTCTTTATTAGGAGCAGCCGGACGTCTCATCTCCTCGACCTGGGAAAGAGACGGAGCTGGCGGGGCCTCAGAAGCAGTCTCAGCCATAACAACTGAGATAAGTTACTGTAGACAGGTAATGAGAACCGATAGACTGGAGGATGGATCAATATTGGACATAGAAACCAGGAGAGGAAGGACAAATTGTGACATTTCTTTTCTTTTTTATGATCAAAGGATTATATGAAACAAGTGACCCTGTGTGTGGCTGTGTGTGTGTGAGTGTGTGTGTGCATGTGGGCGTGTGTGTAGGGGGAGTCCAAAGCATTGAGATAACACAAAGGGACGTAAACTGTAACTGAATAGTAGAAACAGTCAGCTGGAGGAGCTATTATGTTGCTGCTGCGCTGAATCAGATCCAATAAACAAAGCTGTCGGGTGAAAGGTGGACGGGACGAATGGCGTGTGGATATTTCTGATCTGGAGTTCTGACCACGCGTCCCGCGTCCCACTGTAAGCTCTCGGCACTGAGCGGCCAGACGGATACGAACTCAAACCAGTCCAGTCTGTTTGAAGTTTGACCGAACTCGGGTGGCGCTTGCTGAATCCTGCCTCTGCTGTGCAGGGCCCGACCAGCCATGTGTCTGATAGTCCTTCAACTCTGGTGTGCAGAGCGAAGGTGAGGGGATTATCGATCGTGGCTTAGAGTCTCTTTGATCAGTTTGCTTTTTCATTTGATAATCTTTAGCAACAACAGTCTGCACAAAGTCATTAAGACCCAAGAAGCCCTTGATGTTCTCTATGTGGAAAATACAGCAGACAGTGAAGGGCTGCTGTATTAAGAGAAAGAGTAGTTTAAACAACAAGTTGTGTCTTAGAGAGACGTGGCAAACCTTGAACCATGCTTTTTCAGTCTCATCATGATTTGAACTCACACAGAGTAAATCATTGAAATAATTGAAATAAAAAAAGCAACCTGAATTAGTTTTGACTTAAATGCAGAGTAACTGACTTTGATATTATCACTTTGAAGCTCAGCAAATGCCATCAAGGTGTTTTCTTACATAGAACAAAAAATGAACAAGAGTCATAGTTTAATATTGACTCAAAGCAGAACTAGTTTATCAGACCAACGTCTAATAAACTCTCTGAAACATTCAAGGGAGAACAACCTCAGTTTTAACAATATGCAGGACGTGGTATGTTGTGATATTAGGAATCATAACTGTCAGACTTACTGGAGAATGTTTTACCAGAAAAAGCCAAATAAAGACAATGGTAAAATGTGTGTAAATGAGAGGACTTATTAGCTTTAAATCACCAAAACATCCTGCTGACTAAGATTTTTTCAATTAGCTGTTTATTGTATGATACATAAAACTGCTTTTAGCTGTGGAAGGCAGCTTTTCCATTTATCTACAATAAAGTGGTGTTGTTATGATTTTAAAATTGCATTTCCTCTGATCCTCCTTTGTTAAAGTTGTAAAGTTGTAAATTTGCTCCCGTAACATTTTTAGGAAGGACACTCAGATGAGGATCTTGTTGTCGGTGTGACCTCCTGGCAAGATGCATAACTTGTTAAACTGTAGCCTGAGAAATGTTTTCCTGAATATTCAGACAAATAAACTCAGAATTATTGTGAAGCCAGCAGCAGTGATATTTATCTCAGGTTATGCATGATGGACTGTTTCAGTGACAAACTGCTTCACTTTGCCGAACGCTTCCATAGCCCACCCCCTCAAAATCAAGACATGATGTTTTCATGAGCCAGCTTCTGGTGTGACAGAAGCCCTGGTTGCCTGGCAACAGGTACGGGTTTGGAGTCCAGCGTGACTGTGACGACAAAGGTGAGAGGACAGCCTGCGCTGCACACGCACACGCCACATTTTCTATGTGCGTGTGTCTCCTCTTTCTAGCAGGAATGACAGAGCTGTCAGTGAACTCCTCAGGGCAGTGTTGGCATTAAACAGTGCAAGTGTTTGAGATCGATGTGGACACAGCCAAACCTCTGGACAACCGCGTGTCCTTCAGATAACTCCACACGTCTATTTTGGACACGTTCAATATCTGAGGCACAGAACCGGGAGGGAGACTCCAAATTTCGGGGGAGTTTTGGAAGATGAAGCAGGAGCCAGCGGCAGCAAGCATGACAGTTTGGTTTCATAGACAAATAAATCCGGACTGTAACAGCTCATAACCACACACCGCAAATGGTCCATCCTCATTAAACACTAGCAGAGATGTTGTATTTGTAATGGGATGTTCCCATAAACACTGTATTTTATGGGGCACATCATGTTCTTTAGCTTCTGACAAAACAAGATTCATATTCTCCATGTCAAAGGTAAGGAGACAATGTCGGACCCATTTGACGGCTGAATAGAACCCAGCCCCGCGTGTTTACTTGAGTCAGAATATAAGGTCACTCTTGGAATTGGGTTCGAATCTCTCACAGCTCGTCCCTACGATGTGCAGTTGGACTGCAATGGTAATCTTGTCTAAGTGGGGTGATAAGTAATCGTTCAAAGTGACTGAAGGGCCATGAAATCAGTGTCTAAGACTTGGGATAATAGAACATTTCAGACAACCTCTCCTCAGCAGCACAGACAGAACTGACTTAAAGTGACTTCTATGCATGAAACGTGTCAAAAATAATTGAGAAAGAGGAGAGCCAGAATAAAAAGTACACTGCACCTCATCACTTACACAGCATGGATATGCCTGGCTATTATTAAATCATTTCAATTATTCTGACTGACTGCAGGGAATTCTTTTTTAAAAGTTCAAATCCATTTCCATTTACCTTTTTTTAAGAATTGACTCAGATATGTCTCCCATAGTAACACCTCATTTTTTCTTGTGTTTTCTCCAGCTTTTCTTTGAGCTGCTTTCACGGCACTGTCTACCTTTATGACCACGTGGAATAAAAACGGAAATCCTCCAGCCGTGGGGGGGCGGGGCTTACCACCACAACGACGTTACAGTCTTGTGAAAATAAGAAGATATCACTTTCAGTTTGTAATGTATCAGGAAAAAATTTGAAAAAAAAGAGCATTGTGAAGACTTTTCTTAACATTGGGTAAATACACTGTACTGTGTTTACCTTAACACTGTGTGTAATTACTTGTTCAACGAAGCTAAGCGAAAAATTAAAAACCTGCATACTTTTTTCTTCATGGCTGAACATATTAAATTTGTTTAGAGAAAAGCTGAGAGGGTTTCCCTCACACCTTCCAGGATTTCTAAACAAATTAATCTAGAGTTCAGATAGTTTGTTTAGACCTCTAGAGGCCACTTTCAGTTTTCCAGGGTGCATGGATGAATTTCAATTTCAGTTTCACTTTAAATGGAATTATTTCAACAAAGCAACTCCTCTTCCTCCTCTTTCTTCTTTCAGTCCATTCCTTTTCCCTGAACAAGGTTCCCTAAAAAGGCTGCTTAAATAACATGTCAACTGCACAGTGCAGAAAATGTGCTCTTTGGAAAAGACCTTCATCATAAACTCATGTTTTTCTAAACTCATGTCATTGAGTTTGCAACATTTACATCAAAAAATGATGGCAGCACTGCATGCAGCATGCCATGGTTTGCTAAGGCATTCCATCAGGTAGTAGCGAGAAAAATGAAACTTTTTAAAAACATTTTTGCTCACTCTTTCTTCTCTTTTGATGATACACATTTGTGAATGCTTCCGTTCTGTTCTCCTACACTCTTGTTTTCGTTATTTACAGGAGATTGACTCTGGCATCCAAAACCGTGCCTCAGGCGCAAGCTAAAACAAGTCGAACTAAACTGTGGGATGGCGACAAGGCATAAAATAAGGAGCTGTAAGAAAGGTGGGTTCAGGTCCTCTTTCACCTGCAGTTGAACATGCTCACACGACAGTGGAACAAATGTAACTGCAGGTACAGCTGTCTCTTTAACTTGTGCATGTCTGTCCGTGTGCAGAGAAGGATTTCTAAGCTCATCTTTTCGTCTGGATATTCTCTGCATCTCTTATTATTCTATTCAAAACGTTTGTTTTGTATATCTTGAAATACAGTGCATGCTAGTGTGTGCATGTGTGTGTGTTCCTGCTGTCCTGCAGGAACCTGTCATTTGCACGTTTCTCATTTCCAATCAGTTGTCAGGCTGTGAATGGGTGGTTTGAATTTGCAGATCGCTTCTGAATCACACCACATCAGTGTCATACGTGTTTATGACACTGATGGAGGAGGCGGGGGATTGCAGAACAGACAGAAAAACAAACAGGTCCTCAAGGTGATCGAGAAGATTTCTGAGGCTGAAACCAATGTGCTTATTATGAGACTGGCTTGTTAAATAGGTTGGGGGATGAGCCAGAAGTCTGATGGAGCACGGTAATCACAGAAGAATTGCAAACCTTAGTTTCACCGCAAACACAGTTTAAATTATGCTTTTAACAAGGTGCACATTTCTATCATTCAACTTTTAAAAAATGGGTGAAAACACTGTTCCTGTCACTGGAAACAAGGCTTAAAAGGATGAAATGTCGGACAAATTTAAATAGAAATTAAATCAAATGAAAACACAGGGTTGTTTCTGATTTTTTTCATGTTTTTTACCTGTGGCCGGATCAACTGTCCGCTCAATCAAATGGTCATCTTGGTGTACCCACTCGCCGATGCACTTGAAGTAGATCTGTGTGGCCGGGGTGGAGCGGCAGGTCAGAGTCACGGGCTTGTTCTTCACAATGTACTCGTCCTCAGGCTCGACAAGGAAGTGAGGTAACAAGTCGGAGAACGCAGCAGGCAGCGCGGCGGTGGCATCGTGCTCCGAACCTTGAAGAGCAGCGTCAACAGAAAAAGAAAGAAGAGGTTTGAGAGTTTTAGAGGGATGTCAAATAATAAAACAAAAACAAAAACAAAGCATAAAGGTTTAAAAGTTTTTCAAGTTGTCAGGCATGCAGAAACTCTGGCTTTTTGTGCTTTGCTGCTCTGCGGGAACACACGGCAAAAATATCTAAAGCAAGAGCTCAGCATCCTTGATGAAATTTAGGTCATACATATTAGGGATGGGACGGTTTCTGAAAACCGTCTGAACCGTTCGGTTCGACTGTCTCGGTTCGGTTCGCGTGTGTACCGCACGGTTCATGCACTGCTCCTTTTTCTCAGAGGGAAGCGTTTACACTCCAGAGCAGAAGGGGGGGCTACTGCGCCCAAAGCTAACCTCCAGTAGGAAACAAGAAGAAGAAGAAGCAGCGTAGCCGATAAAAATCAGACCCAGCAGCAGTTTATAGTTCTGCTGTATGGACCAGTTTGCATTTAGAGGGAAGCACATGTTGGAATTAGCACTGTTTCCTCTCTTGCAATGCCAGAATCTCACCTACTTTTAACCTCAGACTGTCACAATAATGTATCAAATGTCAGACTGCTTTTTTCTTGCAGTTTTAACTAGGGATGGGGATCGAAACCCGGTTCTATCAAGGACCCGGTTCCACTTTTTTCAAAACCCAAAAATCAATAACGTTTGGGCTTATCGATACCACTATCGAGTCTGGTCGTTTTTTTATTATTACAATAGTAATTGTGAAATCCGTGTTGTAATCGGCAGCATACAAGCTAGTTAGCTTGAAAAGTAAATAAAGTTTCAGACGTGCTGCGTGATGATGTGTTCAAATTGGCTCAGTAAAACGACAATTAGGTTATCATGATGCGTTCAAGTGTAACGTAAAGAAAAGGGAAATTAAGTTTTTGGCGAGAAACATGAGTAATACAGTTGTATATTGCTCTAATTATTTTAGAATATATAATTAAACTACTGATGCCAACATTTATTAAAAATTACATTTAATTTAAAATACAATTATTTATTTGTTAAATATTGTCGCATCGTTTTTCCACCAAATAACAGAAAATGATCAATAGTGGTATCGATAAAGACTCGGATCGATAAGGAGTATCGATAAAAGTATCGATATCAATAAATATTAACGATCCCCATCCCTAGTTTTAACCTGACTATACAAGACATAATAGATTTTCCTAACAATCACCATATACCGAACCGAACCGAAAACCGTGACCACGAAACCGTGAAACGAACCGAACCGTGGATTTTGTGAACCGTCCCACCCCTAATACATATGCATGTGAACCTGCCAGAGAGAGGCTGGCAGCCAGTGAAGACAGAGCTGTGTGGAGCAGTCGTCAATGGCAGAGCTTGGCCTTGTGTATTGTTAGCTTGGTCAGAAGGGGGGGTGGCGGTGGAGGGGGCAAAGTCCTTACTGTCTTTACTCTAGCTCTTAATCACAGCCCTTTTAACATCACTGCTGATGGATGAGTACCCATAAATCCTGCCTCGGCCACCGGGCCACTTCACACTGTGTTTTACTGCTCTTCTATGGGACTCTAACTCTACCCACATCTGAGCACTACAGGGTGAGAGGCCCAGAGGTTAAAGGTGAATGACAGCCGAACACCCTTTGAATCAAAATATTTTCGGTGCTCCAGATGTTTATTTCTGTTTTGTTTTGTTTGTATTTCTTACTGACTGAAAAGACCGTTCTTAGCCTATATTCGATAAAGAGACTATCTAGCCTCAGCCTGTATTTCATATGGACTACAAACCAGAGTGAAAACACTGTTTCACTTTGCAGGGATATGGTAGCTGTTTTCACTTGGTCAATGCTACAATTTACACAAGTCTGTGCTTCTTGAAAAATGATCAAAACAAACACCGGATGACACCGAAGTGCCTACAGCAGACACCTCCTTCTCCATGAACACAGTTTCGCTCCCTCGCTAAACATATTAGCCTTGTTTGAGAGGTATTGAGAGGAAAAGGAACCGAGCAGAAAGGAGGAAATAACCTCTTTACATCACTAATACTCTGGGGAGATCAGTAAATCCCAAAATAAAACCCCTTTAAAAGGAATGCAATATTAATTTACCGTCCCGAATCCAATATGGCTGACAGACTAGACATTAACAACCTTCTCAATCACTCCCTGTGCAGCAGGAGGGGATGGAAGTCCACATCTCTCATAATGAAATGGCAACACTCACGCTGACCTTTCTCTTCTCTCGTCTTCCCTTCCCCCACCCAGCCTTTGTTCATCCTTACAGCTTGCTGAATTACAGGTCAGGGTTAATATCAAGTTGCGTCATAAATACCAATCTTTTGATGAAGACATTATCTGTCAGTTCCTCCCCCAGTCGACATTGTATTAATGTCTTTCTTTCTATGCTTCTTTTTTCCCTTTACCCGTGTGCCATGTTTCTAATTCATCAGGATGAGATAGAGTGAGGCACGCCGGCGCTGCTGTCGCTGAACCCCATTAATGTACCGTGTACATGTTTAACTCTTAATGAAAACTAAATGTTCTGTGTCCAATGAACGACATACATCACTTGCTGACACTTTGCTATTTTCCCCATTTTCCGAGCCCTTTTTATTATAACACGCATTTTCAGAGAAAAGCTCTCCATTCCCCGCACCGTACCTCAATGGCATTATTTACTACGTATGCAAGTGTGTGTTCCTTGTCTCATGGTGTTGAGGAAAGGGCCACAGTTCATCAGTACTAGAGACTGTAATTGCTCTAAAGCAGGGCCAAAACTTTGCTAATAAACAGTAGGAGACCAGGAGGTCAGGCTGTTTGAAAGTCTGTTGGTCCTAATGATGGCGACTTCTTCTAATGGGCCATCTTCCAGCTTTGTGACCATGACCATTAGCAGGCAGGGCTGACCCCCTGTACTCCCAGCAGAATAAAGACGGCCGTTCAGTAAAACTGTGCTCGGGATCCACCCCACATCTGCCAGGTTAATCATCTCATAAAAGACAGACAACGTTCAAGCAGGGAGCAAAACCAAAGCCACCTGAGAAGGATGACAAGTTGGGAGAATGGCTTGATGCTGTTAACTTGCCGCCGCTTCTAATCTGCGGGGGTCACATTCAGTATCAACCCCCCGAATTTTGATGACGCGTCCAATTTGTGTTTGCATGTGTGGGTACACAGTGGTGTGCATCAAAAGAGGAGGGGGTAAGTCTTCCATTTTAGCACATGTTCCTTAGGTTAATGAGGTTAAACAAGTAATTTCTTCGGAGAACTAAATTGTCATTTTATGGACAGACATTCTAGTCACGCAGCGCTTTACGTCAAACCCATAATGGAGGGCTGATGGGTAGTAAATTGGCTCAGATTATTGTCATGAAGCAGTATACTTCAAAGTCGATGTGCGCACAGACATTTGCGCACAAACACGCACACACACAGGGAGTATGAGCCACTTAACAGACTTGTGCGGGTCAACGCACAAATCAAATAGACATACAGCAGACTATGGGCACTGCATTAGATTCCTCTGTGTGTGATCAGCTAAGACCATCATTAATTGTCAACTGCTTCAGAGGTCATTGCCGGATGATTGTATACATGCACAAACAACCAACACTTTGGAGCTAAATGTCTCTCTCGTCGATCGTACAGACTTAATTGATCCAACGTCCAGATGTGTTGCTGGAGTGGACTCCGTGACCTCCTGCACGGCAGCAAACTCTTGCATAAAATTTTTCTGGAAGGGATAAATTCTTATTCTTAGAAACGAACAAGGTTCCGACCTCATATTTGGCTGCAGCTGCTATTCTCTGCAGAGACAATACAACTGACCAAGCACATACACAAACTACACACACAGTACAAGGGTGCACCAGCTGTCAGTGTGCTGAGCCATGATGTCCAGGGCAGATTTCCTGCTGCACACAGACCCCATGTCTCATCTGTCCAGCTGACCATGTCAACTCCCAAGTCAGGGGCCGAGCAAATCAACAAGGGGAGGAGATGATAAAGTGATGACGCAGGCAAAAACACTTGAACATGCGTTGATGTATTAAAAACTGCAGGTTTTCCTGCCTCATTGCATGTATTTGTTGTTTTCTGAAACCATCCGGCTTCAGTATTTACCAGTGGTTCGTGCTTTAATAGCAGTAATTAGTAAATCAGAAATAACATAATTACAAATCTCAAGGAGAATTTTGAAACAGTTCCAAGCTAACTAGCTCACTTATTCATTTCTCGTGTTAGTGAGCTGCTTGCTGTCAACATGGCCTTAAGCATCTGTAAGAGAGTATTTATTTTTTAAACTCAAGCTACAGAGTGCTCAAAGCCAGATGTGGCTCGGGAGGCAGAGCATTCATCTACCAATCAGAGGCTAGGTTGTTTTCCCCCGTCTCCATGTTGAGCCAAATATTGCGCTGCTTCTGATGTGTTCATCAGTGTGTGCATGACAGAAAAAAACTAGTCCACAGACCAAGACATTATGGACTAAGAGGTGCTGTCTGAATGTGTGGGGGAATGGATGAATGGGGCTTGTTGCATAAAGTTCTGAACAGTCAAAAGGACAAGGAGAGCACTTTATAAAAGCAGCTCATTTACCACAGTTACACTACAAGGGTGTCAGCAGGGTGGAAAACCAAAGCAGGAGAGAAAATAACCCTCTTCTGTGTTTCTCCCTAACGGCATCAACACATCACGTGCCCTTTGGAGCAAATTACTTTTTTTTTTTCCAAGCAACAACACGTCCCTGAAGGAAAGCATCATTGAGCAATCACTGGGCATAATTCACATCACAGTGATGAACAGCAGCTATAACAAGTGCTTTATGACACCATCAATTTCTTATGATGTTCTCTGGAATTAATTCAATTAAAGTTACTATCCAGAGTATTATACAATTTCAAGTTTAGCTACCATTAAAAACAAAGAATAGATCTGTCATCTTAGCCACTCTCTTGGTCACTGTTTTTCTTCCAGCTGGTTAATTCAAGTGATTTTAAACCA